GGATGGATGGATGGATGGACGGACGGACGCATAGAGTATGTAACAGTGCATGTCTGACATCCTATTAACTGTTTGTGTGGTGATGGCATGGTCACATTCTATGCTGTCCTTTAACTTTAAATGCACTACTTAACACTTTCATCCCATGTAACTAAAAATAAACTCAATATACATGTTCTTTGCTCACCATTTGAGTGCCTTTATTAAGAAAATGTCGTATCGTTAATCAAAGTAACCTTGTAGAAAGAATGCCTGGAATGTTCTCTGCTGTTAATACTGCTAGAGGAGGCTACTTTTATGAACGATATGACATTTTCTTGTTAATAAAGGTACTCAGACAGTGACAGTAAACTCATTGGTTAGCAAAGAACATGTATATTGAGTTTATTTTTAGTAAATGTTAAGTGAGTAACATGCACATGTGGAAAATGTCATTGTGTGCAAAAACCTTTGACTGGTAGCGTAAGTAATGGTGAGATCATTTGGCAGCTAGATACCTTGAGTCACGTACATTAAAACATATGAAATATCTGGTTTGTGCCATTTTTGTTCTGAGTATCTAAGAGTTTTCACCCAGAAATCTTTTAGTAATGATTTGGTATAAATAAGTATGTTGAACATCTGCTTTCCTAAATGTCATTTTGGATAAAGTTATATGCCTGGTATAATACACAACGGTATATTTTTCTTAGTGCACCTTTTACAGAGTGACAGGTTTCTCCCCAGAATCTGGGCAGGTATTCTTCGGTGTCACTGCATGTCTACCCAAGGTACGTGAAGCATGGTTCATGTCTTCCAACCCATGCCTGGTAACTGTTTGTTAGTGAGTTACCAGTGTCAGGGAATGACTCTGCTCATACGGGGAATGAAAGCATCGTATCTCTGACCTGCGCTCTCTCCTTTTAGCTGCCAGAGGACCTGAACGCTCTATGGGCGCTAATTACTTTCTATGGAGGAGACTGTCAGCTTAATCTTAACAAGAAGTGCACTCACTTGGTTGTGCCCGAACCGAAAGGGGTAATTATATCTGTCTTTCTCCCTGTTTATTGTTGTCCGTTTTTTTATTTCCGTCTTTGCCTTTTTAATGGTGGTGGAGAAATTGATGTTACTATAATATATTTAGAAAGCTTAAATCAATATTTTCAAGTTCCTCTGCCAAAGCGTTAGCTTAGTTAATAATTCCGTGTCAATAGGCACTTTTATGTTTTTAAAGTATTATATTAATAAAAGTCTAAAGAATGGCGGTGTTTTCAGAACTGCTGTTTTTAGTGGCTTTTTTTAGTGCTCTTCTCCTGGAGTTTTTGTCTTTGTATTTTATATGCAGTTGATTGGGCACCTTTTACGTCCTGACAGTAAAAGGCAATTGGAATGGCTAGCGTGATGCTAAGTGGCTATTTTATTGCCAAGGGGCTTGTATTGGTTCGGGTAATGCTAAGGGTTTCGGAATGTGAGTGTGCCGCCAAGGAGGTCAGAATTGGTAGCAACGAATTGGTAGCATAATGCTAAGAGGCCTGGGAGGGACAGTGTATTGCTAAGAGATTAAGAATGACTAGCGTAATGCTAAGTTTGGAGTTAGCCAGGAATACAGGTGGTTTTATTTTTGCTCATTTTGCATTTTAATCAGCTTTAAGGAGAAGATGGTCTTTGTGCGGGTCCTCGTCCTAGTGTTGTCTGAGGGGCCTGTTTGCCTGTCGTCAGTTTGGGCCGGTTTGGACTGGTTTTTATTGGTCAGGCCTTTAGGGGAGCACTTTGTTTAACCCTTATGACAGGAAGGGAACTGGGGGGTTTATGGCCACTTCTGGGGGGAATTCTGGGGGAGTGCTGAGCAGGACCGTAACCCTCCCTGGCTTCAGACAGCCCCATCATCGCATTCGGCGTCTCCCTGAATGCGCTGGACTTACCAGATAGCTAAACTGAACTTGCAGAGACGCTGTTAGTGCTGCTGATTCTGATCAGGTCTGTTTTACGCCGCAGTGAGTTTCGTCAGCCCTTTGACAGTCATTGCCCTTTATTCAGTTGCCTGTTATTCCAGATTTTTTATTTTTTTTTTTAGTCCAGTTGATTCTTTTTAGATGAAAATCTAACAAGGTGGTCTCGCATGACATTCTGTTCTTTTCACATCTTTCTCAGCGTTCGGAAACTGTCACCTCCAGCCGTTCCGGCCTCCCTGGACTTTTATATATGTGGTTGCAGGAATGTAGAATCCCTTTGTCATCTGTTAACATGGGGAAAACCTAGTATGGATGTTGTAGGTTTTCATATATGGAACTATTGTGGAAAAAGTGGATTGCTTAATTATTTAATTATGTTAAGTTTATATGTATACTGAGCATGTAAATTGTTGGTTCCAAGGCGATTTGATTACAATTACAGAAGGAGCGATTCCATCCATCTTTAATTGCTATCCTTATTAATTTTGACAAATTGATTATTCAATTATTTTTAATAACCTAAATTCAAACCATTTAACCTTACTGAAAAAAAATCACAAATATCACCATGGGAACTTCATTACATTACGGAATGCAAAGGAAGTAAAATCTCAGAACATTAATTTTTATTGTTATTATTAATCTGGGAGAATACTCCAGTGTAAAATTTTCAAAAGGCTGACTAGTGAACTGTACCGAAAAAGGTAAAAAAGCTACCTGATAGGGGTTTGCCGGCGGTGCTGCTTGCTGATAGGGGGGTTTGCCGGCGGTGCTGCTTGCTGATAGGGGGTTTGCCGGCGGTGCTGCTTGCTGATAGGGGGGTTTGCTGGCGGTGCTGC